ATTGTTGTTGATATTTAATTTCAAAGGCAAGGCATTCAAATTTACATACTTTTCTTTAACATTCAAAGATTTTTGATAAATATCTTGTGTTTCAATAACAAATAAATTCCTAACGCATACCGAAGGGTTGCACTCACTTGATTACACTTAATGCATTGCTTCTAGCTTTCTTGAAAATATGCTATTAACTCTGTTAACTATTTTTGCAGACAACTATAATTATCGAGCCAAGCAATTTTACCATAAGGTAGGGAACTACAAATTTTTCGTAATGATTTCGGTGTCACAATAGTTACACATAATATTTTTAAAATAACTTTCGCAATCAATCATTGAGTTTTCAATCATTTTATTAATATTACATTTGCCATCAATTTCATTATTTACAGTTTTAAAAAACGATGACAACAAGTAGGTTCTACTAGTATAAATCTTGACAATTGGACCATTGGCAGCATATTTTATGAGCGTTGTTTGATAGCACAAATTTTTAAGCATTTTTGCTTTATCCTGTTTTTCTGTAATAAAACATCAAAAAACATTACTGTTACAAACACCATTGTTTCAAACTTCGGTAAATGAATCGAATACGCATGTATTTGTAAATCTAATTGGAATACTGAACTCGTTTTGGCGTTAAATTTTAATCAATTTTTGATAACTGATTTGATTTTTCCAGAAATGTTCTTTAGACGCTGTAAAAACAAAGAAAGATGTGGTTCCGGAGTAAAGTATGTACCTCTTGAGTTTATGAGTTGATCTTTTACAGCTATGTCAATTTGAGGCATTAACTTCATGGACCGAGTACTTTGTTCTTTTTTATTCACTGAAATTTTTATTGAATCAGAATCTTTCATGTCTTGAACTTCTGTAGATTTTATTCTACAAAACTTCTGACTGGAAGTAATGTTTGTTGTAATCTTAAAACACTGATATACTTTCTTATAACTTAAAATATTTAGTTCTATGTTGCTGTATTGAAAATTACAGGCACTTATATTTGAAGTTTCTTGCGATTTGTCACTTTCTGTGTTGAACGATAAAAGAAGTGTTGTATTACTTGATTCGATGAAATTTATATTACTACTATCACCGTCAACTGGCTCATTACTTTTGTTTGATGATAAATCACCATTATTTGTTACTGGATTCGTGTTTTTCTATTTCTCTGTTGCATAAAGGTGTTCAGTATTTGGTTGTTGAATTTTTTTCCGTTTTCAATGTATCTCCAGCCACTGCCATGTGGTTTATAACTTGTGATTGAATAATTCTAAATTCATTTTTCATTTGCTGACAATGTTTGGTAACTAGATATCCACTCTTTCTGGAGTTTTATCTTTAAGAATACATTTTTTAAATTGATGGAAATATGTTTCAGATCTCGCTGACGTAGCAACGACTCTTGGATTGTCAAAGTATGGGTAAATCCATACCTTGACTGATGTGATACATCACATTAGTCCAGCAACGAAACTTTTTACACGAAATTATTAAGTGATCACCAAAATCGAGTCAAAAGTAAGTATTATCTTGATTTATAAAATCCAAGCTGTCGTTGAAACTTAAAGACTCAGTAGCTTTACCTTGAATATTTCGTATAAATTCATCAACAACGCTCTTTATCTTTTTGTTTTTAGAATTTTTATTTTCACATTCAAAGTTATCTCTAAAATTATTTTCCAAAGTATTTGTTATGTCTTTATTTACAGTGTCAACAAACTTGAATGCATGGAGTCTTTCTTTAACAAACTGAAATGCCTTCACACACTTATCATTAAAATGCTTTCTATAACATAATATAAATATGTTTTTTTTTAAATAAGGTGAGGTTTTGTAAGATTTCCACCGTCAATAAAAGCCCATTACATTTGTTGTTAATTTCTTTTACTTCAGACGAGGTGTGATCTGATAAGCATATTCATCGTACAACTGCATGGATCAAATGAGCTATGTCAGTTCTAAGTTAAGTGTACAGCCTTTAGTATGTGTTACCTGTCACAATTAACAAACAGTACTCATTATACGTTAAAAATGTAATCGAGTTACATGCCATACAAATACCATATTGCATAGCTTTTCCCATATCTGTAACCACCTCTCCCCGTAACTTAGCTCTGGATGCCTGCCACTCTCTCAGTTAATAGCAAAGAAAGTTCCTGTTATTAATTTCTGAAAGAACTTAAGCTAAGGAAACAATTGTTCCATCTATGTTAGTACACAACACACTAAAAAAAATATGGCCACTTTTTCCACTTTGAAGTTGGATTTTAAGAGCTACCGATCCAGTTCCATCGAGGAAAAGTGGGTTCTCAAGAAATATCAAAATATTGTTATGAATTTCTATCTGCTCCTATGACGAGTAAGTGACGTAATGTAATCCTTGTTATAACCAATATTTTTTATGTATGCACTCAAAGTTGGATCTTGCGTTTTAAGTCCATCCAAAGATTTGAATACATCTTCTCCACGTATAAGTCCCAAAGCTTCATATTTGGCTTCTTCTTCAGCCTTGTGATACATTTTTGGTCCATAAAGAAAAGGGGATGCACTTTTATTATAATTTATGTGCTTGTATACTTCATTTATTCTTAATTGCCTAGGTGCTGTTGTTTTAAATTCACTTTTGATCCTGTCTCTTTCTGGACCTGCTAAGCACCTTTTAGTGTGGTGTTCTATTCCCTTGGAATCGTTCGTAATTATCTTAAATTTACTTCCTTATAATCTATAGGTCTCAAAAGACATCTAGCTACTAAATAGTTTCCACACTCATCACAAGATCCTTCTAAAAAAATAAAGCACATGTCGCTACCAACTCTTTGTTTTTTAAAATTAAAGCAGTAAGGCAATTTTGAGCTCTGATATACAGCTGTATTGATTGCATCTGCCCCACAGGTTTCCAATTTTCTGCAACCCTATTGTTTGCATGAACTGTTTGAATAGGCTTTATGAGATCCCAATCAGTTGCATTAAATATTATTGGGAATTTAATTTTTTCTCTTTGTTTATCAGTTTTCATTTAATGTTTACATCAGTGTTATCACTATCGTTACTCTCCCTATCTAAAAGACTTACTTTTTCAGATTCTAAGTCCTTCTTACACGTTTTTTCTTTTTTTCCAGGATTTTTTTATACATATTTTGATGTGAGATTTTTATTATCTAAGTTAAAAATTCGAATACCATGTCCATCGCAATTAACAGTAAGGTATAAATTTATAGTACTTATTTGTTTTTAAAAATGTTTACTTGTATCATTCCAAACTGGATCAATTCTATTTTTTAAATGATATCTATCATCAAAGATATTGCATTCAAGAATGTTCTCCTTGATTTTATCAGGAGATACAGCAGGCTTTGGTCCAGGCATTTCAATAAAATAAATTAATCGGATTATGAAATACCTACTTATTAAAAGTTTGTTGAATTACTAGAATATAAACACACTTCTTGCTATTGAAAGTTTCTATAAAACTGCTTGTAGCTTGCCTCGTAGCAGGTGCTGCAAGTTAAGACGTGTCTATACGAGTTTTTTTCTTGTAAATCCAAAAAAAATCTACTATCTTCTATATGTACGTACGTATTCACAGCCATTACACAAAGACAGATAGAACCTGGTGTTATTAAGGTAGAATTCTTGCTCGGTGGATAGTTTTGAGTGTACATCAAAATTTTAAAATCTCGAACACATAAACATGCTGATGAGGTGTTTAAAACTAACATGTGCACCTTTATCGTTAATACATTAATTTAAGTATCAGAACTAAGATTAACAATGCATACATTTATTATTAGTGAAAATTTGTGTCATTTTTCAGTAGCAATGCTAAGTTATTACTCGTTTATTTATTACTTATTACTCAGTTACTTAGTTATTTCTACGATCTTAGTTCTAGGTTAACACTTGTTAACTGTAGAAAGCATTCAATTAATAAGATGAACATAAATTATGCATAATATACATCACCAAATAGATTGTTATAGCTATTTAGTTAATTAGACAAATAGATTTAAAAAATAACTACAATATTGGAAAAAAAATATTGCCATTTCACTTCACCGTTTCTTATAATGAATTATTATTCTTATAATAATTAATATTTTATGATATATTTTAGAGGAGGAAAACTAGATGACAAGCGATTAAAACATAAACACGTATTTTCTTTTAACTATATATCACAAGTTACACACGCAGTTAAGACATTTGGTAATTCACTTTTTGTTTATCAAAACAACTACTCACAATAAACCGTATAACACAGCTTTAATAGTATGAACAGAATCTGTTAAAAATGATAGGAAGCTCTTACTTTTTTTTAGGAAGAGCTCAATAATAATTTATAAAGTAGTAGTAAAATAAGAACTTATTTAATGCAAACAATTGTTTTAATAAAATGCACATTGCCTTGGCGATTTATATACGTTTTTTCGTAAAAAATTGTAATAGTTATGAAATTACTTAGTTATTCAATAACTATGACTAAATAAGTTTAAATTTTAACGATGTATAAAATAAACCTTAATAAAATCACGTTAAGTGACATATGTTGTGGTTTTTGATGCGTTTACTGACGTAGAATTGTATTTTAAAATTCTTTTGGAATATTATTTAATTTATCTTATAAGCGTAAAGAAGTAATTGTTAGGCATCAAATGATAAAGTAGCTTAATAATGAAAAATCCCTCATACATGAAAAATTTTAAAATTGTATTTCTTAAGAAAATTGGTTTTGTTTAATACGATTATTAACTATTCATTTATACCAACGTGACTGTTGCACAAATTTACATATTTAGAACTTCTTTGTATAAGCAAACTGAACAAGTGAAAATACAGTGGAACTATTGTTGATTTTTAAATAAACAGAACAGAAGTTGTATCTTGCTGCAATTTTATGATATCTCCAAAAAAATTTCTTTTAAAAAACTAGAAGGTTACGTCGATTTGATGTGTTAAGCTTGTTACTCGTAAAACATTCTTTAATCCCTCAAATAGTGGCAATGAATAGTATTGTTACAAATAAATCTGTAGCCTTGGCAAGATTAAGAATCAAAGTATGAAAACAGTCAGATTTATTTACTTACCCAGCACACTTTTTGTATAGTACTTACAGTATAATACTGTAATACTCGTCCTTTCACAAAACCAAACCGAGTTATATTATCTTCTGACTCATACTTTATGCAAACCTTTTATCAAATATTATAATGCCTTTCTTTGTTGTAAACAAATGAAAACGTTAGGGCATTATTTCAATTTACTAAATGTAAGGTTTATATATCATTCTCGTCAAAATTACATATGACTCAGTTTGGTTTGTTAAAGTACGAGTACTAGACAGTGTGAAACTCGAGTGTTGTAATAAAAGTATGCTGAATGCCATGGGCCAAGTACGGAAGAACTAAAAAATAATTAACCGTTCTGAAATTTTTATCTTAGAACCTAACAAATCTAAAGAACCAAAAGGAAAACCACTGTTTGCTGATAGTGTACGAAGGCTTTAGAAATTTCCTACAACATATTAACTTAGTACATTAAAGCTACTTAACCTTTTAAAGTGGTTAGAAATATTTATATACAGCTGTTCTTGATACGAGAAAACTTAGAGTTTTCTGCTAACTATAAAGTGATTTGGAAATAAGACGTGAGCCGAATATTTAATTTATATTTATTTATAATGCAACAAAATCCTTATCGCTTCATCCCAATGTGTTTTAAGATACCACAACTAACTAAAATTAATAACAACAATTTTAAAGTACGTCAAAATTTCAGGTAAAGAAGGGACCAAACGGTAAAGATTATGAGTATGAGTATGTTTATTACTACTATGATGAAGATGAGGGAGAAGAAATAACTAACGCTCAGACATCTGCTAAGGATTCTGCGGATCAATACCTTACCTCAGAATCATTCTTTAATCAAAAAAACTCTCACTCTAATAAATCCTTAGTAAGAAAAATATTAGATGAACCTGCCGTTAATTCAATGAGATCAAATTCTAATAAAAGTAGGTTTGACCCACAAAATAACAGTCTTAAAGAAGCCTGGACTTCCAAGCAGGGGTAAGTTTTTTTTTAAATTCATTTTTAAACAACAATTCACACTTTTCACTCCAAGATTTCAGAAAATAAGACGACTTTGACAGTTACCAATCTTTATNTGTTTTTTGTCGTCGCTGAACATAACTAAAAACTTTCTTTCCGATTGTAAAAAAAAAGAAAAAAAAAAAAAAAAAAAAACTTTAATACTGCAAGGAGATCAGACAAGGAATTAGTTGTAAAACAAGCCAGTACATCAATAAACTGAGACTTTAGAAGCAGCTACTGTTCACTTTACTAAAGAAAATATAGAAAAAAAGGATGATGAACACAATTAATATTAAGGACAGGGGCAGATCAGCGCAGTTTTCTTAATTGTCTTGGTAGAATTAACTTTGTAAGTACAAGCTAAAGAATATCAAATATCTATTTATCTACCCACCCCAAAAAAAATAATAAAAGGAAAAAGCACTTTCTTAATCTATTTAGAGAAAAGACCGATTACATTATATAAAACTTGCAAATTAAATTTTTGTCATTTATATTCTATGCAATACTAACAGTGATCAAGTACTTAAAACCCACGGTCTAATACAATTCCATAAATAATAAGCCCAACTAACAAAAAAAACAGATAGGTTATAATAATAAAATAAACTTAATAATAAGTAAAAAATCTTACATTGGTCCTAAATAGTACAGATACTAAAATTATTTAGATATTAGAGGTTATTATTATTATTGCTTTATTAGAAAACCTATAAAAAAAATAGATTCCTGATTATAACATTAAATTTTTAAGGATTATCAGTAAAACTAGCGTAATAATAAGAATTGTGTGACATACGGCAAAATGCAAGCTATTTGCAACGGAGTTCTTATTCTCGAGAAAAAAAAGTTAGTTTCTGTCTCTTTCTTCAGATACTTGATGTGTGACGTGTGGTTATGTTTAATACACTTGAACTACTAAACATACAAAAGCAAGGATTTCTGTGCATGCGAATAAAAAACTTTTTTCAGAATCTGGTCGCTTCCAGACGCGAAAATAAGATTTATTTGCGATCACATTTGTCACGTCTATTTTTAATATTAGCAGAAGATTTAATTTATTCCTTATTTGTCTTTGATTTTATCAGTTTTTATGACAGCCGTTTATTTATGCAATAATTCATCGAAACAATTAGAAAACTTTGAATGAAACTCGTGGGATAAAGCCTTTTTAGGGTTTTCCAAGGCAACAGACTGTACAAATTTGAAGGCATGATTTAAAAAGTAATGAAGTCTTCTTTTTACAAAAAATTAATGCTTTATTCAACTGTAAAATTTACAATTCATGATTAGTTAGTACTTGCTTGAGTCAAACGAATTTATTTCTGTAGCAGAAATATACATGTTTATTCCATTGCAAACGTAGTTTATTTACTATTTTTTTTTTTCTTTGCAGAAAAATGTTAAGGCTCATTAGTTTCTGCCTGACGCTTAAGATGCAGAGAAAATGTTTTTTGGTTTCTGGTTCATAGATTGTTAATAATATTTCTTCATCAAGTTCATCGTTTTTGTCTGCCAGTTAATTAGTACAACTAAATAAGAACGTTCATTGCTCTTTATCTCGTTACGCATCTGTCTATGCATATTTAAAACATTAAATGATTCAAGTCAATTGACTCAAGGTGCTCAGTTATTCTTTGCAAAAAAAAATGAGAACTATTTGTTACAAGGTCCATACAGCATTTCTGTGTGGGTGCCTCAAGCCACTGCAGTCGAACCTTTCTTTTAAGACACTTTCTTTTCTTGTCATCATGCTTCTATAATAGATTTAAGTATTTTAAATTTCCCTTTAAATGTTAAAAATATTGAAAGTTTTAAATTTGCTTATCATCTCTTACCAACCACATGTACTCTCATAATTTTTAAGTTATCTTACACTTTAGCACCGGTGACTCTTAAAATTTAATAAAAGCCTAAATTGTACTTACTTTTTACATTTTTGATAGTGCGAATAATTCTACAATACATTATTTAAGGCAGATTTATAATGCAACTAATTTAACAAGTCCAAACATTAATTTTTTTTTTTAAGGGGAAGGGGTTGGTCCTTAATACCTAATCTTCATTTAATTTCGTAGCAAAATCATCAATGCCACTTGAAATCACTTATTTTCACCACAGTTCAGTGCAGTGACAGATTAAAAATGGCTGATTATTACTTTAATGGCAAATCACTAGTCAGTTCATTTTTATTTTCTAATAACACTCCCTTTTAACTGGCCATTAAAACAATAGACATTAAAGCTATATCTGCAGTCAGCTGTTGTCGAAATGAACGTCACTAAAAATCCATTAATGTTTTCATAAGTGTTAAAGTGTATTGTTACCATTTTAACAATCAATGATACAAAAAGTGAGCCACATTAACCCTACTCGCTGTTTCGAATTTCGAAAATATATTTCTATTATAATTTTTTTTTTTTTCGAAATCCAGAAAATGATGCACTTTTTGTCATAAGACATTTTAGAAAATGTTTTTGCACAGTTTGATATCATATTACTAATAAAATTTGTAGCTTAATTTATAATTATATTTCTTTTGATCTTAAATACATATTTTTGTGCACTCTATGGATCTGGTTTTATTATAGTCATAGCTACACTAGAAAAAAAAATCGAATAGTTATAATAACCACGTTATTAAGTACATAATAAGCAGTTCTGGTCAAAAAATATAATAACAGTATCTATTGAAAAAAAAATGTAAGGAAGAAACTTTAATTAAACTGTGAAAGTCCTACATAGCTTAAATTAGTAAAGACTCTTACAAAGAGCCACATAGGCATATTATTACAGTATGCTCTTTGTTAATCGCATGTTGTAAAATCTCCCAGATGTTCACTAAAACTGCAAGAAGACTTATCGTCCCCCTTGTCTTGTCAGCGTCAGTCATTACAAGAGTTAAAGGATCGTGCTCTCTCCTCTGTTACTACGAGGCCATTTTGTTACTTAAGTATAGGAATCAGAGATTTGTGGCCACCTTTAGAGCACATCACATGCCCCTGAAGCTGTGATCTATATCAACTCCAGTGGAAAACAGTATCTTTAAACGTGGTCTCTATCTAAAGCACGTCACTTACCCAAAAATTTGTCATTCCAGGTTGCGTTGATGTCCTGCTTGGAGCCGACGTCTACCACCAAGTCCTTCAGCCGAGCGTAGTTGACCTAAGAAAACTTCTGGTTCAGTCCAGAACGTTGCAGTGAATTTTCACTGGAGAAGATTTTAGCACGTTATCAACAGAGTTAATTACTTCTCAAATGAGAGTTTAGGATGAGTCTGCTCTAGCCTAGCACTTAAAGCTTGTGTCATTCGTTCAAAGATTCTAGCAGCTCATGGACATTTCCATGGCTCAGCTTCATTTGTCTAAGGTACCTAGCAAGGGGCTCAACGACAGGTATTCGACACTTCATCAGAGAATACAAAGCGTGTGGCTACATGCGTGCTTCAACCTAGATCGAACTACAAGAGTCGTCACAGCACCGTGTTAACTATATATCACACGTCTTCTACGAGTCCAAACTTACTTCTTCAGCTCACAGCCCAAACCAAGCGTTATATATGGGTTTTAAGATGCACGTAGCCCTTTTTTGCGTGATTTCTCGGTAGAGGATGTACCAAAACACTTTATGTACTGACGTTCACATGTTTTGATAGACTTGGGTAGACCATAGAAACGTGAACCAGCAGCATGTTTTCTGAAGCACTGGTACAACCCAGTCATCTCGGCACTACCAGCTGCTGACTGTGACCTATGAAATATCGTGTGCATGGTACCTCTTACTTCGCGCGTTTTAACAGCTGTATAAGGATGAAGGCTACGCCTTGACTTAAGCTGCTGCCATCCTCAGGAAAGACTAAAACGTGGGCGAAAGTTTATTAGGTGCCAATGACATCGACACAGTCTTGCAGCATCTCAACCAGATTGTTAGTCTCTTCCAAGCCAGCGAGCTACTGCTGCGGAAAAAAGTTGCAAATACTCTCGAATACTTAAGATTATGTTTAAAAACTTCTATCTATAAAAGAGTTGGCAAAGTTCTACACCAAAAGCCTTGTCGGCAAGCTTGGTTTCAGCTGAGATCCTGTGGCTAAACAATTTTACTTAATACCACATGCACTGCCATCTATACCCTCCACCAAGCTGTTGATTCTGGCCAAGCTTGCACAGCCTTTGATCTATGTGGCTGGCTAACCCCTTCTGTCTTGATTACCAAGTATTCTGTATTGAATCTGTGACATGACAGTCGCGATTAACACGTATCTGTTTGTTTAGTAATAGTCTGATAGTGGAATACTTTCGTAGCACAATGACAGCTTGTCCGACACTTCGTAAACTCACGCTGGATTGCTAGTGAGTCGTAATCTTCAATACAGCTACACCTTTTTGCTAATTCTAGTCATCAAAGCATGGCTACCGTTGTATACTTTTAGACTCAGAGCCCACCCGGCGATGTCAGTGTCCACATTCTCCAAGCAAAGATGAAGTTGAACTCAATCAGAAGCCTTCTCTCAGCTGTGACTCCAACTGCCCACATAAAAATTCCTTGACTAAAACTTAGGGCTGCCTTAATCGCTGCATAGCTGCTTTGTTCTACATCTCAGAAACTTTTGGTATCAACGGATGACTTCTATGCTTGGAGCGACTCCTAAATCATACTGCATTGGATCCACGCAACTTAAGCTAAAGTAGCTCTGTAGTAGATAACTACTTTGCTTACATTCAGGATATTCTTTTGGTCTGCATCCGGTGGCATGTAATAATTTCGACCAATCCAGCAAATGTTGTGTTCCAGGAGACTGAATTGTTAATTCTAGATTTCTATTATGTATGGTAGGACGATCTATGCTGGCTCAGTGGATTAACGAATCTTAGCCAACAAAAATTACCAGTCTATAGTTGCCCAACAAGCCATCTGCCCAAAAATCTGGGCCCATCCGATGTACTTTGTATCGTGAGCCCTAAGCTATACTCTAACGG